ATCCACTTCACCAGCTAATTACTCCTCAACAGCGATGCCATAGAGATATACAGAACCGGAAGTTCAAAGACAATATTCTAAAGATGACGGCGCCCACGTTTCTCTGGTGCATATGGTTTATAAAGAGAACACTATTGTAATAAAACATTGTGAATTATTTGGGTTTGGTTGCCGTGGTGTTTCAGCTCGTTGTTAGGGAAGAGGAGTTACACACTCTGAATAGCACGCACCTGAGACGTTGTGTTAGTCGTTATATTTGATTATTTAATAAGTAATTTAATGAAAGGATCAGTTGACTCACTTTACAGTCCAACTAGCTCTTTATTAGTTTTGCGCAGCATTTGCAGATTCGATGTGGCCATCCTAGAAGACAGCATCATCACTGTGTTTTACAACAGATTGATTTGTTGTTTTTCCTCTTTCTCTGGCTGTCTCTTGCTTTTCCCCTCATTTATATTCTTTCGCTCTGTATTTGCATGCATCTCAGATCTGCCGTTGGACTTCAGACTGAGTTAATACCTGTTTCTGATCTCCACCAGAGAGATGAGACTCATGCATTTTAATCACAGATGTGTGTGTGTGTGTGTGGATTTATTCTCTTTTCCCCGAAGCCTAAACTCGGACGAGAATTATATATGAAGGAAATACATGAGGGGGCGTTCAGGGAAAGTGTGTTCATTTATATTTGGTCTTGACAGGGGAATATGACAATATCCAGGTGAATTAGTTTATAGCAGTGGCATTTTTAATTCAACAGCAAAAGTTAAAACGACACATTTTTTCTGGAATCAAGTATTCAAGTAAACATTCAAAGAAATTTGTAGAAGTAATCAAATATAAAATAAAACCTGTGCTTTGATATCTCTATTCTCAATATGTTTTCTTACTCTGTTTTTATTTGTGTTAGACCTTTTTAGTTTACCCAAAAGGTGTTTGTTTGTTCATACGACACAAGTCATGGGGGTCCAAAGTTGGACTTTAAAATGTCTTATTTTGCGTCCATAATAAAAACTATTCATACAGGTTTGGGAAAAGATGACAGAAGTTTCTTGTTTCTTAGCTAGATGAAAGAAAATATCAAAATGTCAGTGATAGTTTGAACACTGTAAAAAAATATTGATGGTTTAACTTAAAAAAGTGTTGCCTTAAAATTTTATGTTGATTGAACTGGAAAAAGTGAGTTAATACAATGAAGGGGATTAATTTAATCATCAGAAACTCAAAATAATAAGTTATCTCAACTAAATAAATTATTATAAAGTTGATTTGACAAAAGAAAATATGTTGTGATAACAAATCTTGAAAATATTTTTTTACAGTGAAGAAAAACAGAGAGCATACGAGTCCCACTGATAAACTGAGCCACTGACAGCGAGTTAAATAGGCTGGTTTTTGTTTACATGCATATCATATGGATGAAAAACTTATTGTTTATTCCAAAAGAAACAAACTGTGAAATGTTTGCATTACAATGCAGGTGTCCATAGATGGCAGTGTAAATCACCATGAGAGCTGAAGAAGTGTGTGTGTTAACCTTGAATCCGTATCTTGTATTTGGGTCAAAAATGGGCACCCATAGAAATGAATGGGAAAAACTGTAATTTAGAGCATTCTAAAATAAGCCAAAATAAGACACCAGGTGACAGCAAAGCCACTTCATCTTTAGGTTTTAGCTCTAAGAGCTTATTGGAATGTCATTTTAATTAAATTTTTTTATTATTTTATTATTATTAATAATAAATAATAATTTATTTATATTTTTATAAATATTTTTATTTATACATTTTATTATTTTAGTTACAAAATTAAAAAAAAATAAAACATAAAAATAAGCATAATTTACATAGAAAATATGGTACTTTTTGAAGTAAATAAATTCAGATTTACCCCCAAAATAAAAACAAACACTATCAATGGATAGACAAAACTTTATCGAAGACGGTGATATAAAATTAATAATAAATAAAAATTAGGATCACACCTGAGTCCTCTGTGACCACATTTGTCCACAGTTACAGGATTAAGGGCTATAAAGTGAGTACGGTTTGAGGGCTACAGGGATCATTTACCCAAAAGATGTTTGTTTGTTTAAATGATAAAAGTCACTGGATACAGAAGAGTACAGCTTCCCTTAGATTATTTTCAAATATGAAGGGATATTATTGATATTAAATAACACTGACACTCTTAGTTGGTTTAAATATTTTAGTTTTTAAGTACAGTACGTTCTCCATTAATGCAACCTCAAAAATGAATTTTGACACTTAAGTCACACTTATTTTGTTTTATTTATTTACCTATGCATTTGTTTATACTTTTATTTATGTATTTATGTGTTCTAGTTTTAGTTCATTTTGACAAACAAAACTAGTTATTTTCAACTAGAGCCCGACCGATAAAGGATTTTGAAGGCCGATACGATACAAATATTTGTTGGTTTTAAAATCTGATATTCCGATCGGCCCATATTTTTTTTTTTTTTTTTTTTTTCAGAAACATGCAACAAAACTTCAGGAACATCAAAATATATTAAAGTTCTGAAAAAATAACGGACGTGTGGCGCGTTATACACGAGTGTTGCCAACAGGAACGGTGTAGAGTGCCCTCTGGTGGACAAACTATACAACTCCAACACTCATGACATGGTTCAAGCGTGTTTCATCCATTTTTATTTTATTTTTGAAATATTCATTTATCGGCCATCATAACTGCCGATACCGATAGTTTGGAAAATGCCTAATATCGGCCGGCCGATAAATCCGTCTGGCTCTATTTTCAACAAAACGCTTTCCTGTAGCTCAATCAGTAGAGCGTTTGACGCTTGCAACACGAAGGTCATGGGTTCGATTCCCAGAGAAAAGCAAGAACCGATAAGAATGGAAATGTGTACCTTTAAAAGTCGCTTTGGATAACAGCGTCTGCAAAATGCTTAAATGTCAAATGTCAATTTTTAATTGACTGAAAAATGAGTGTTGATTATCAGATTTGAGCCAGGAGCGATTTGTGAGGTCATCCAAAAAAAAAAAGATGTTTCACAAAGATTATGAAGACCATTGTTCTCATCGTATCATATTGTTCACAATAAGTGCGGCAGTGCACATGAAGAACATTAATAGAGTCAATTATGATTTCATCTTGACTTTAACACATTCACTTTATATCATCAGGACATCTAGCTCTGATTTATGGCTGTCTTTACACACATGGCTGTTTCATTTGTCATCTCTGATCGCTGTGTTTGCTTCCTGGAGGTCAAAGTCATGCAGGTGAATCTCTATAACTGGTGAATCTCTGTTGAGATTTAAGGGCTCCCGTCGCCAGCGGCTGCTCTTTACTCCATGACTTTATTTGGTCAGATCGTACACGGACCGCCAGGGTCTTTGATCTCAGCAGGGTTTTCCATGATAAATAGAGGAACATGTAAACCTACAAGCTTTATGGGGGTCGAGCAGAATTTCTCTTTTAGATGCTCAACAAAGAGGAATTTGCCCCTTTAGGATCGCATGACCTTCAGCGCTCTTTGTGTCAGATGTGAAGAGCTTCGACTTTCATCTCAAACCTGAAGCTGATTTTTAACACATTATTTTGGTCCAAACCGCTGCATGTTTGCTTAATCCACATTAGTACCACCTTGGCAACTAGTGTATTAACTGACCTTGTACACTACCATTCAAACGTTTTCAACTTTCTATTCATCAAAGAATCCTGGAAAAAATGTAGCACGGTTTCTACAGAAATATGAAGACGTTTTCAACATTGATATTAGTAAGAAATGTTTCTTGAGCAGAAAATCAAGCAAGGATCAAGGATCATGTGACACTGAATATGGCTAGCCGTTTTAGCTTTTATTCATTTCCAGGATATGAATTCTTGATATCAACAATTACATGTTTTGATATCAACAATTACATTTTTTTGATATCTGTAATTGTATTTACACTAGTAAAATGTCTCCATAGGCTGCCATTCAAAATTAATTGTTGATATCAAGAATACATTTTTTACTCATTTTTTGATATCAAATTATCAATAATTACATTGTTACTAGTAAAAATGTGAGTTCCTGATATCAATAATTAAATTGTCAAAATTTTCAGTTTTGGTATGTGAAAATGTATTTCTGATATCAATATTATTTCAAATATCTAAAATGGCTTTCTCACTAGTAAAAATCACATTCATGATATCAGAAATTAACATTGTCACTAGTAAAAATTGAATTATTGATATCAAAAATGAACATTGTTACTAGTAACAATTCAATTGCTGATATCATGAATGTGATTTTTACTAGTGAGAAAGCCATTTTAGATATTTGAAATAGTATCGATATCAGAAATTAACATTGTCACTAGTAAAAATTGAATTATTGATATCAAAAATGAACATTGTTACTAGTAACAATTCAATTGCTGATATCAAGAATAAACATTTCTTGATAATAATTATTTTATTTCTTGATAATTTTAATTCTTGATATCAAAAATAAAGGTTTTTACTAGTAATAATTCTATTTCTGGAATTTCAACTAGTAAGAAATCAATTCTTGATATCAACAATTGGTTTTGAATGGCAGCCTATGGGGACATTTCACTAGTGAAAACACAATTGTTGATATCAAGAATTCATATCCTGGAAATGACTAAAGGTTAAAACGGCTTGTTATACACTGAAGACTGGAGTAAAGATGCTGTAAAGTAAGCTTTAAATCACAGGAATAAAACTGTTTGGGAAAGCAAGTCTTTAAAGAGAGACTGAGGCTCTTTTTTAAGAATACGTGCAAGCATGAGTAGTTGGAGCAACACACAGTATCTCACGGAGATCTCACACCCGTCTCCTAAGAGTTAAATCGTGCTGGTTTCCTGCTGTAGTTTACATTCCCAGAGCTGTTGAGATTGTAGATGCAGCTGGCACGGGCAGCCGGAGTCACAGAAGTCAGACGCTGGACCTCCCTTCTGTCTCAGATTGATTATATATTTCTCTCTCTTTCTGCTCTAAAGGACCCGTTAGAAAGCCCAAGTATGTGGAGGGTCCTCGTGTTCCTGGAGATGCGCTCATGTTGTCGTTGAGGAAGGAGCCCGACGGTACGACTGGTGAGTGACGAAACATGCTCGACTCGCTCTATTCTTTTCAGATGTGTGTGTGTGTGTGTGTCTGTGCTTGCCGTCAGAATCAAGTCTTTATTGGTTAGAGGAGAAGATTGCTGATGATGTCAGGATTTCAGGATTTATTGAGTCTGTATCTGTCTACTGTATCAGTGTAGACAGCATCAGTGATTATAATGACTTCTGTTTGCTTTTGGCACGACGCTCACTTCCAGTGTAGGCAAATGTGAGCCGTTAAGCGACTGAACGCCACTGAGCGTTGGTCATGGTGTGAAGATGTATAACTAACTATTCATCGACGTCTTGCTCTGGAGGCGGGCATATGCAAATGTATTTGCCCTGGTGACATCACAGATCCTGCAAGATCAAAACAAGCTGTTTCTGGAGCTTGATTAAATAAATGCTTTGTTTATAATGAGGAGGAGGTTGTAAGCTTTTTTTAATGGTACAAAGACCTCTGATATGGAATTTGTTGTTGTTTTCTGTGGAAGTTTCATGTTTGTACCTTATGCATGTAATCAAAGCAGCATGCATTATTATATTTGCTTCATGCATTTTGAATTTAGATAATTGCATATGTGTGTATGTGCAGAATAAGCACACTGACTATACAGTATATAACAGAAACTGTGTGTATGTGCACGCTTCAGTGTACTGGTGAATTATGTGTGTATGCATGTGTGTAGTAGTCAGTTGGATGTAGTGCAGTTTCTGTGCTGGGCTGGAATAGAGTTGGCAGTGTTGTCTGTGTGTGTATCTTTAGCTTCATATCACTGGACACAGGATTGTGTTGGTCAGAGGAGCATGTGAGACATCAGAGCTTTCCAAACAACTGTGTGCAACAGGGTGGCGCCAGTCGAATGCCAGCTGTCTGTGGCACACCACTGTATCGCACTGGTCACATGATGTCATCAGAAGGTGTCCGCACTGCAGGGCGTCAGAGATGGATGACTAGGCAGTGGACAGCTGATGCTGATGCTACTAAGATAGTGTATAAAATAGGATTTATTTTACCGTGGTGCTGTAGATTAACATTGATGTCTTTCAACATTAAGTTTAATTTAGTGATCGGCGACGTCTTGTTGTAATTTGGCGAAAATTGGCATTTTTAAATAAGTTATTAAGGAAAAAAGTCTTTAAAAAAAGGAGAATTGTGGTTTATGTCACTTTCGGTTCACACTGGAAATATTAGATTAAATAAATCAAGCTCATTTTGCATACTTAGGGCCCCCATTGAATTTTGAATTTGAATTTTTACTTGAATTTTCTGAGTTCTGTTTTAATGGTTTAGTTTTATAATCAAAAGGGATGTCTAAAAAATGGATTCAAATATGATTTTACAATTTCTGGATTCTAATGAAATGTATTATTAAGAACGGTGGTGATCAAATTTATGCATAAAACTTTAAACACTAAATTACAAAAAAAAAAACTTAAAATGTAATCAAATAAAATGTGAACAATTCCTTTAATTGTTTGGCAAACAAAGTGCTGCACAACAGATGTTTACAGGAAAAAAATGTGTGATATTCCTTAAAAATATTATTTTAATAAACTGCATTGTTATTATTACATACTTTTTAGAAGTACATTCTGGTGCAGAGTAGTAATATATTTCTGCATAATGTCGTTAAACCAAACTTTTATTTTTGTTGGGTTGTAGTGATGACCTTGGAGTGTCTTTGGGTATCTGACGATAGTTTTGATTAATTCATCCAAAATTTGACTAAATTCCGTGACATTCCGTGTTCTTCAGCAAATTCTTATGACTGAATTCTATTCTGTCCATGTTTTCTGTTTTGTAGAATTCATACACTCTAAAAAATGCTGGGTTGTTTCAACCCAAATTTGGGTCAACTATGGACAAACCCAAATGTTGGGTTAAAAATGAAAGTGAAAGTTGAAGATGGGGTAAAATTTGAAATGACATATTTGACCCAAATTTGGGTTGAAACAACCCAGCATTTTTAAGAGCTTAGGCCCCTTCATACTACTTTTCTTCTTTAGAAGATATTCTTTACATGCTCTTTGTGTTGGTTAGTATTTAAAATGCTGAAATGCTTAATAGTACTCAGGTTTGTTCAGGTTGTTGAAATAGGACCAATATAACCTGGTTTATTTACTGCATATCTGTCATACCTCAATGACACACCCCAGTTACTGTAGCTCCAGACACATATAAGGGTCAACACTGTTTACATGGAGGACTGTCACGTTATTTTAACCCTGAGAGAGTTTATATATAGCATCTCCAGACCTTCCCCCAGGCTCCAGTTTAACATCGTCTTCAAGTCGTGTTGGAATGATCATATTCATGAGATGAACGCCACCGTAGTATAGTTACTAGTGGAGGAAGGTGTTTTGTGAGCCATGACTTTCCCATTTGAGGCCGTGTCAATTAAAAAGGCCATATTATGCACGTTTACAAAGCTTGATTTTGGTTTTGGGCTCTACTAGAATGTTTTCACGGTTGAATGTTAAGAAAAATTACACATTATTTTCCTCATATTCTCCATTGTTGTGGCTCCTCTCTTCCCAGTCTGTCAGTAATGCTCTGTTTAGTTCCTGTCTCTATGAAGCCCCTCCTTTTTAAAAGCACACTGTGCTCTGATTGGCTGGCTGGACTAGTGTGTTGTGATTGGTCACCTGGTGTTTGGGAAATGACCATTATTTTGCTTAAAGGAGTAGTTCACTTTTGAAAAAAACTTTTGCTGATAATTTACTCACCCCCATGTCATCCAAGATGTCCATGTCTTTCTTTCTTCAGTCGAAAAGAAATCAAGGTTTGTGATGAAAACATTCCAGGATTTTCTCCATATAATGGACTTCAATGGGGTCCAAACGGTTCAAGGTCCAAAAGACAGTTTCAGTGCAAACTGTTCAAAGGGCTTTAAACGATTCCAGACGATGAATAAGGGTCTTATCAAGCGAAACGATTGCTCATTTAAAAAACAAAAAACAAAACAAAGTTTAAGTTTTATAAGCTCAAAGACACGGACGCGCATCACAGAACAGAGCAAGACGAGCATTTGAGCTTATAAAACTTAAACTTTGTTATTTATTTATAAAATGAGTGATCGTTTTGCTTGATAAGACCCTTATTCATCGTCTGGAATCGTTTAAAGCCCTTTGAACAGTTTGCAGTTTGCACTGAAATTCTCATTTGGACCTTGAACCGTTTGGTCCCCATTGAAGTCCATTATATGGAGAAAAATCCTGGAATGTTTTCATCAAAAACCTTAATTTCTTTTCGACTGAAGAAAGAAAGACATGGACATCTTGGATGACATCGGGGTGAGTAAATTATCAGCAAAAGTTTTTTTAAAAGTGAACTACTCCTTTAAATAATTCACCATTGCTTATTTGTTTACCTGAGAAGAAGAGGGATAGAAATGTTCTTTTTGATTGAACAAAATACACTTATTCCAATATTTTTTTAATATTACATTTTCATTCAGTTTAATTTTTGCAAGTTTTAGGAGTGCATTTGTAAAAGTTGCACTTTAGTTTTTCACGTAGTATCTATATATCTGTAGAGATCTGTCTATATGTTTTAACTTCATATTTTAATTGTAGTAATTAGAGATGGTTCAAATGCATTTTAATTTCAAATTTTAGTTATAGTTAAAAAAAAAACAGTTGAGGATCGTAATTTAGTAAGTTATTTACCTTCTGATTTTAAAGCCTTCTTTACACAATCTTGTAAAAGTACACAGACTGGTTAAATGTATTAATGTAATGTTCAACAAAATTCCCACATTTCATAGGCTCAATGTACAGTATGTGTACGCCACCTTAACTACTTCTCACACATGCACAGGTGAAATCGCTAGGTTGTTATATTATTATTAGGGCCCAAGCCCTGAAAGGGCGAAGGCCCTATTGTTTTCCTTGGGATTATTTTTCTTCACTATTATTATTATAATAATTATTATTTTACTACCTTTTGGGCACTTTTGGGGCCCTTAACGTGCTCGAAAACTCTTGAAACTTTGCACACGGGTCAGAACCCGCGGCCATCAGAGCCGGGCTGAAGATGGTACCCGGGCGTGGCAGGGCAGCTCGTCAGCGCCCCCTGGAACGGGGTCCGAACACTTGGTCCATAACTCAAACACGCTTGTATGTAATAATATGAAACTCGGTACACACGTTGATCTCATCGTTTCATCTATACCTCGCGCTCTTACTTTTTACCCCAGCCCAACAGGAATTTGGCTATTGAGGTTTGTTTGTAAAACGCTCGCAATGGAATGTCAAATACTCCTCCTAGAGCTTTGATCCACATTCGACGAAACTCGGTCAGCGTGAAGTCAAGACATTGAGGATGAAAGTTTGCGAGGGGATTTTTTATATCTCGAACGGTTTGTCCGTGGCGAGGAAACGAAATCATGGCGAGAAACGTGAAACAGGAAGTGTGTTATAACTTCAGCATACATTAACTGATCTTGATGAAACTTCAGCAGTGTGTTCGCTGTAAGAGGACGATCACATGGATGTGACTATTGTGAGTCAAAGTTATAGCGCCACCAACTGGCAGCAGGAAGTGTGTCACTTTCAAAATGCTTAGATATCACCCTTTTATTTTTACCCGATTTGCTTCAAACTTCATATGTATAATGTAAACATACGGCAGATGTAGACCTGTGAATGGATTCTTGATATCTTTGAAACTGTTGCCGTGGCGACGCATCAAACTTTACCCTTCTTTTAGGATGCTTTTAGGATGCTTTTGAGACCCTTAGCATGCTTCAAATTGCATGAAACTCGACAGACACATCACATTTATTAGCCAGTAGACATGTGCAAAGTTGCAGAAACGGGCGTGGTGAGGGCTCAGTAGCGCCACCTTTTGACAAAAGTGGGGTGGTTAGTTTTAACTAGAGTTACAAAAATTGGTATGTATATTGTACTCCTCGAGCCGGACAACTTTCTAATTGACACTTATTAGCTAGGACCCACAGAAACTCAGATATTTTTGTTTGAATATG